AATATGTGTAAGTTTGAGTTTGTATATGTCAGTGAGGCCAAATAAGATCATAACGGAAGATCGGAAGAATACATAAAATATGTTGAGTATAATAATAGATAAGCTAAAATTTTCGATTTGTACATAGAAAATGAAGATTAAATTTACATTCGAAGAGGTGAAAGAAATTATTAATTCAAAATCGTAGCTATGTATCGTTGCGGCCATCTCACTCTTCGGCCATATCTCGTCGTTACTGAATTTTCTTCGTTTGTGTTGGTCGATGTCGTTGATGATTGGGACTCGCGTTTCGGTGGTTCGACGGTTTTCGAAGTAACTGTATATACTGTCTGGTCGTCGGTTTCAATGAAAGCTCGTTTGACTCTGTCGATGCTAATTACATCCGTTTTTTCAGCTTTTTCTATCGTAATAGTTTTATCGTTTCTTTTAATCACCTTGAATGGACCATCGTAGGCCGGTTTTAAGGGACGCTGCAATACGGCTCCTACTGCTATGTTCAATGCGTCCGTCATGACGGCTAGTGGTGCTTCGTTCTTTCGTCGTAGTAACATCATCTTCTCGTCTAGTGCTCGCTTAGCGTTCTCAAAAGCGTGTATAGCATCCGCTGAAAGACGAAATGTCCAAGTATGTCCTTGCAAAGCGTCCGTCAGTGGTTGTAATATTGTTGCGCAGTTTGGAATAAATCGTCTATAATAGTTTATTAGCCCCAAGAATCGTCGTAATTTTTTCTGTGACTCAGGCAACGGATAATTACGAATAGCAGCAACTTCTGTCGGAACTGGCATGATACCATGTGAATTTATCATATGACCTAGGAATTGCAATGATTCCTTCCCGAATTCACACTTCTCTATGTTAATAGTAACGTCGTGTTCTCGAAGTTTCATAAACAACCGTCGTAGATTTTGTAGATGTTCCTCCACGGTAGCGCTAGCTACTAGTACATCATCGATATATGCATACACTCCTGTCAAACCCCTGACAACCTGATCGATGAATCTCTGGAAAGTTTGGGCTGCGTTAGTTAATCCGAAGGGCATTCGCAAAAACTTAAATAACCCAAATGGAGTAGTTTCAGCCGTTTTATGTATATCTTCTGCCGCCACTGGGATATGGTAATAAGCCCGAACAAAATCGATTTTTGAAAATATCGTGGCACCTCCCATATTGGTAGTAATGTCGTGGATATGCGGTACCGGATATCTGTCTGCTATAGGTTTCTTATTAAGGGCTCTATAGTCTCCGCATGGACTGATTTCTCCGTTTTTCTTGGGAACCATATGCAACGGGGATGCCCAGGGACTATTGGACGATCTTACGATACCAAGCTTCATCAATTTTTCGAACTCTCGTTTCGCAATCTTCAACCTATTTGGGTCTAGCCTCCGTGGTCTTGCGTTGGTCGGTGAACAGTGGTGCTGTACAGTGTGCTTAAGATCTCTGTTATCGCATGATGCCCTCGTCAAATCAGTGAACTCATTTAGAAGCGCTCTATATGGCTCGCTTTTGTCTTTTGACACTACTAAATTCATGGATACGTAATCGGTTGTTACTCCTTTTATCACTACTGAATGGTCTCCGTTCACGAGCCGGTTTCGTCGGGTATCCACTAGCAAGTCGAAATTCTTTAAGAAATCAATACCAATTATAGGTACGGATACATCTGCGATGACCAATTTCCAGCGGAATGAAGTGCTACGACCAAAATTCAAGATTACGTTTACCATATGTTTTTATATCGGATTTATTTGCTGCCTTAAGCGTTAGCGCCGTATTAATATTTCGCTTTTCGTTACTCACTGGAGGCACAACGCTTACTTCTGCTCCAGTGTCAACTAAGAACTGAGCACCTGTTACTCTGTCCTGAACGGAAAATAAACGACTGTTTCTAGGAGCTGTTCTAGTTGTCGCGGCGTTTACCGGCAATCGGTGTGATCGTTTGAATTGTGTTATTTTTAAATTAGGAAGGTCATTTGATAAAGGTCAGAATGATTTGGAGTAAATTGTCAAATTGAATTCACGAGTCGATTAAAGCTAGATCATCATGGAAAACCTGAAAGCACTGTACAGCCGTTTCATCCTGATGTGGGACCCCTCAACAGTTAGCATCCACGATCCCGCGCGCGGGACTCGAACCCAAGACCTATCAGTCTCGCGTGCGAATACTTAACCACAAGACCACTGAGATGGCCAGCATCCGAGGGTGTTGATGTCTAACTTCAATCAATCCACGATATTGCGCGACCGTCCAACATTGTCTTCAGTGAGTAATTACCTCTACAACAGACTAGGTTGAACTCCACTGACAACGGCTTCTCACTAGAACTTTCTAGGAAATACCTCTTGGAGCCACTTACTAGTGAGCGCATGATTATTGTTATTATCTACACAGGAATTCAACTATTAAAAATCACTACAATATCCACAAAACCCTGTTCTGATAATAAGGCGTCAGTATAATAGTAATATAAGAAAAAGGAAAAATGAAAAAAAACCGTGTGAATAAAATACTCAGTAGAAGAATTTAATCTTGCTGATTGAAGTAATAATGATAATAGCATTCGTAATAATAATAATATCGTTGTATGAATATAATATGTAATAAGAGAGCTGTTATCAAAGTGATTACGATAAAAAAGAATTCATGTGAATTGGGACAGACGAATGTGAAGATTAAGAAAGATGTAACCAAAATATTGGGGGGAGGGTTGAGAGGTTTATAATATTCAGTTTAAGTATCCGGTGATCCATTCTCATGCCAAGGTAATCATAAAGGCTAAATATATCTTTTCTGAACACATAAGTTCGGATTTCTGGAGTTGATCCGGATAGCTTCTGCTATGTAGAGTAGTCCCAATTATCTCATTGAGGTAGATTCTTTGGAACTTGATATAAAACAGAGAAAGCTTCCTCTATTTTGATATGGTTCTCACTACCTACCAAGTGAGAAAGAATGGCACGATTATCGACTTAGTAACTCATTTTCCAAACCATAACGGTACATGTTCATGAACACGCAAGGACAAAGCTCTCTGAGTACGACCTATGTAACTAGCTCCACAGTCAAATTGGTATACACACAGGGAGGAATCCAACATCGGTAACCTATCCTTGATATGTTGTGTAAGTACTGGTTTAGTTGAGAAAATCATGTGCAACTGGGAGGCATGAAAAGTCCTTTCGCTTGATCTTTCGAGTCGACATGTTAAAATGTCACCCTCTACGTCTCTAGTTTCAGATACAGGGTTTTTTACTGACCGAGCCGCAATTTCTTTTTTATTACCTTCTATCAGGAATTTTCTGACTGAATTATCTAGACAGCCGTTATTTCGTAATGTGTTCTTTAATATATCCATTTCGCTGTCTACACTATCCTCAGAACAATATAGCTCGATTCTGCGACTGAGACATTTAACCAAATCTATTTTATATTGAAAAGGTGTAAAGCTATGGAAATAGCTATACTGACCCATACATGTATTCTTTCTAAATATACTTCGTTTTATGGAACCATCTATCCTTCTAGAAAGTACGACATCTAGGAAAGCTATACTACCGTCTTTCACCTCCTCACCAGTGAATTTAATAGTTGAATGGATGTTATTAAAACTGTTTAACATCTTTTGTTTGTCAATATTTTCGTCACATACAATTAGTGTCCGATCTATATATCGACAGTAATAATTTAGCCTAGGAGTGATCCCATTTTTTTCATTTTGTTATATTACGATAATACTGATCGTCACTTGACACTCTGCCCCAAATCATTCTGATCTTTCTAATTTACAAATAATACAATTTTGAAATATTTATGTCATAACCAAATACAAACGTTAACCATTTTTAACAATATAACATTATAAAATTTATTAAAACATACCCTACTTTAGCCTTTGTAAAATATCATTATATCAATAGTTGAGATCATGAATCAATTGAAGCTAGATCATCATGGAAAATCTAGAAACTTCAACTGACTCATAATCTCAAATATTGAAATTACTATAATTTCTATAAAACGCCTTCTGATGATATCATTATATTTAAAGCAATTAGTCCCTTTGATAAATTTTGATAATGTAATAAGAAGACGAAGATTATCAGAACTATGTGATGATATTTTGATGGAGTTTTGTTCTCTGAACTGGATGGCTTTCATTGTTATTCTGATTGATTGACTAATAAAGATCGAGATATATAGGACAATTTGTGAGCCGTTCGAACACTTCACTCCTGTCTGAAGTTTGTACTGATGATGTCGCTCAGAAGGGTACGATGAAACCTCCACGACCAAACCATCCAGCTCAGAGAAAAAAAACTCCATCAAAATTATCCACCTGACCTAAAAATCTTCTCCAATATGTGATAACATATTAGCGCAATACATTTCGACAAATCTGATCACACATTGTACACTTGTTTAGAACATTTATGTAAACAAGTAATAAAAGGTCAATTAGACTAGAAATGGACGGTAATCACACTGCCTAATAAGTCAATATTACCAGGGTAGGTTTAAAGTGAGAACAAACTATTTTTGAATACACAAACAGGGTTTGAATTTTTGTATGGTCATATGTGATCAGATTGTTTGAAATGTACTGCTCTAATATATCATTACATAATTTTAATCATCTTCATCTTCGTATTATATTATCGAAAAATATAATAATTATCGATTTATAATTGTAAAGCTTATAGATTTTTTACTCTTCTTTGTTTGTTTTCCTCTCTATTAATTTTCTTTTTTTATAAAGATATATTTTCATATTATTTTATTAATCAATATTTGTAGTTCTCAATCAATAATACATGGGAATAATCAAATATATAGGATACTAAAACTTATCTATGATTGGTTCTAATAATTAAGCGTTAAAAATAATTAACCAATCATAAATAGAGTATAATAATTAATCAATAATTTTTTTAAAGGTCAAATGAGTTTGAAAAGAAGATAGGAAAACAATTTCAAAAAAAATTTGATCACAGTATTCTCAGTATACCTCTTATTTATTTATTGAATATTGAAGTGTTCAAGTTGAAAGCGATAGATTTGCTTATTTTTCTTTTTTCTTTTCTCTCCCAAAATATTTTACGCATAATCAATACAGAAATTTTTGTGTAATAGAAGTAAATTAACAAAAAGAGGAAAAATCTTTTTTTCTTTTTCTTTTAAAAATAATTTTTACTTTAACAAATTAAAAAAAATGAATTTTTCTGAAGTATTAAAGAAAATTCCAACACCACAAGTTTCAATGCCACAAATACCACAAATGAGTAAATTCGGGATAAATAGTAATAAAGAAGATATAGGAAAAGCTCCAATTAATATGACACAGGTTAGTTTAACTTTTTTATCTTTTTGGAAAATAATATTTATATATAAATTATATCAAAAGGGGTTTTGTGGAGATTATAGTCATTTCAATAGTTAAGATCATGAGTCAATTGAAGCTAGATCACCATGGAAAACCTAGAAGCACTGGCTCAGTGGTCTAATAGTTAAGCGCTCGCGCGTGAGACTGATAGGTCCTGGGTTTGAATCTCGCGGGGGGCGGGATCGTGGATACGCACTGGTGAGGAGTTCCATACTAGGAAGAAACGGCCATCCAGTGCTTCCAAGTTTTCCGTGGTAGTCTAACTTCAATTGACTCATGATTTCAGCTATTGAAATATAAATTTTAGTGATAAGTAGTATAATGATTATAAATTAATTTATTACTTTGAAGAGAGCAAGAACAATGATTGGTTCAGAATAATAAATGGATACATTTTATTTCGTTAGGTTCTGATCAGCTGTTTACAATCTAAAATATTTGAAAATCAACGTTGTTACAGATATTGACATACTTATACGTAAGTACGAGGGTGATTAAAGATGCGTCATGATGTAACGAAGATTTCAATAGAGTTAATTAGGTCAGAGGTGTCATATCAAGATATCTCCTTGACACAGGACATGAAGTCGATACAATGAAGTCCTTCAAGGTGATTAACAAATAACCAAACTCCAACCTTTTGAAATTTGCCGAAGTGATAGCAATCAAACATCTAAAACCAGATCTAAGTATACAAAAATTGACAGTAATAAATCTTTTTTACACTGGTAACATTAAACCTCCTTATATCATCCAATATTTCAACATTTTCTGAAGTTTAATTGCATTATTGTCATTTTTCTTCAATTCATAACTAATTGATCTGAATTCAGTTACTTAAATACACAATCATCTAATGTTTGTTAACTTCATGAGTTCTAATCACTCATGATCTTAATCAATGAAATTACTACAATCTCCACAAAACCCCTTCTGATAATAATCAACATATGCTCATTAGTGACAGGCTTCAAGAGGTATATCGTGGAGTTCTAGTGAGAAGTAGTGACTAGTGGAGTTCAAACCAGGTCTGTTGTGGGATAGAAACTCACTGAAGACAATGGTGGATGTGTCGCTCAATTTCGTGGATTAGTTGAAGTTAGACATTAACACCGTTGGATGCCGGCTCAGTGGTCTAGTGGCTAAGTGCTCGCGCGCGAAGCCAGTAGGTCCTGGGTTCGGATCTCGCAGGGGGCGAGGTCGTGGATGCGCGCTGCTGAGGAGTCCCATAATAGGACGAAACGGCCGTCCAGTGCTTCCAGGTTTTCCATGGTGGTCTAGCTTCAACTGACTCATGATCTTAATCAATGAAATCACAATTTCAATGTTGTGGAACATTCCCAAACTTTATTTATCCGAAACAAACAATTTGTATGACCTTATTAACTATTGATACACATATTCATCTCTAATCACTTTCGTACTTATGTATAAGTAGGTCAATATCTGTAATAACTGTGATTTTCAAATATTTTAGGTTGTAAGCAGCTGATGAGAACCTAACGAAATAAAATGTATCCATTTATTATTTTGCACCAATCTTCGTTCTTGCTCTCTTTAAGATAATTGAGGGAACTATGTACATGAAAAAAGCGTATTACTGTTATGCTCTATTGGTTAGGTTGTAGGTTCCTTAACTTTTTTTTTCTTAATATAACTTGGTCAATGAATAGATTTTTTCTAATTGTTTTTATAAATCAATAATCTTAACCGCTTTCCTAACAACTGATTATCGTCTGAATAATTTTTTCTGGTTAGCGTTTTTTTAGTGAGTTAGTTTTCTACGGAATGGGTTCGCTAACTCCATGCTCAATTCTCCTCCTTTATCCGGGCTTGTGACCGGCAGTAGCCCAAGAGGGGCTTCAGGAGTTAACGACAAAGTTTTAAATCAATGTTTACTACTTCGGAAATGAAATAACATTAATATTCAAATGAATGTTAATGTTAATGTAAGTGCAGACTACTTGGTTGAGATCCGAGTGGTTAGAGACTCTGGGTGACATGGCTCAGAATCAATCACAATCGCGTCGATGCATACACTCTTTGTCTTCCGTTAAACTGAGATTAAAATGGCTTTATATCTTTCGTTCTATGAACTGACTCTTTCTTCCTGTACTATGTAGAGGTTAACCAAGTTTGTTGAGATAAATTTTTTTCTAATATCCGACTCCAATAAAAGATATTTCATTAACTGAGTATTTAATGCAGGCTTAATCTCCTAGTAGAATTATCGATTTACTCGAGATCATTAAAAAGCCCAAACATTAGTTGTAGAGATAGTTTATTGCTAAAGCTTGGTACAATCCGCAAGCATACAGCAAGCAAGCACCGAGTGAGACAAAAATCAAAGTGTGTGTGTTAAAAATCCATATATATTTTTGAGTATCAATCAATTGTAGATAAATTATTGATTATCTATATGTCTCAACCAATGGGGGAATAGAATAGGGATTGAAGTGCAGACACACATTCAATCATACTCATATGGAAATTAACACAGTGGGGTAGAAAAATAATACATCAGTAGAATGGGCTTGCTCCAATTATATCCTTATATGCAATCTATCTTTTATATATTACCACCACTGAATTAACTACTTCTATGAATTCGGTGTTCATCTTGTTGTGCTAATGAGGCATGGCAACTTGAACCGATACATATATGTGCCTGGTCCTACGTTGTAGCTGACTGACTGACTGAACATGCATTTGAAAAACTATAGTGAACAATGAATGATATTTATCTGAGTCCTCATTTAATGTTAAATGAATTTGGTTACTTTGTCAAGTAGATAAGACTTATCAAAGAAATATTGTATAAAACCTTTAAGTTGATATCGGTAGATATTCAATGTTTCAATAATGTTTCATTATGTTTCTTGTATTGTATGTACATTATGCCTTATAATCCTGTTAACGAAAGATACGATATTAACTGAAATCATTTATCTCTTCAACAAAAGAGGATAGTTAAAAGTACTGAAGGATAATAAATATGGTTTATTCTTTTCAATTGAACTTTGGTTATATAAAAAAACCCTGATCTCTAGTAGTCACATATAAAAATTATTGAAAACAGATTCAATTAAAAGTATATGAACATAGGTTAATATTTATGGATCGTATTAATCAAAGATGTTTAGTATCTAGAAATGGCAGTTTTATTTATTTTATAGAACATGATATATACGATTGAAACAATTGTAGTGAAATAAGTGGAAATCTATCAAAAAACTGGCACTTCATGAGCTGATTTTTTTTCACAGTTTTCTGTACAAATCATGATATACTCACTAGTGATGGTCTCCAGGAGTTCTAGTGAGAAGTCGTCACTAGTGGCGTTCAACCGGGTCTGTTGTGAGATAATAACTCACTGAAGACAATGGTGAATGTGTCGCTCAATTCCATGTATTAGTTGAAGTTAGACATTAACACCATTGGATGCGGACCGGCTCAGCGGTCGAGTGGTTAATCGTTCATGCACGTGACCGATAGGTCCTAGTTTCGAATCCTGCTGGTGGGATAGTGGGTGAGCACTGCTGAGAAGCCCCATACTGAGACAAAACGGCTGTCCAGTACTTCCAGGTTTTCCATGGTTGTCTTACTTCAATTGACTTATGAATTCAACTAATAAATAGAAAAAAATGTACATAGATTATACGAAACATTTGTCAACAAACTCTTTCGTCTTTAGAAAGTCAAGATACATAAATAGTTCAAATAAAAATATGAGAATGTATTAGGTAGTTCCTACAATTAATTCCCATCAAGATTTACAATAATCATAAAGATATTAACAAATTTCAACAGAAATATATCACAAATTACCAGTGGGTATCATTATGTATGGCAACATGGAAAAAAAACACTAAACATAATATATAAATTCTACGAGAAACATGTTTCACAAATGTAATTTTTTGTCGATGATTAAACGAATTAGAAATTCATAAATTTAACTGAAATCTATGGAATGTCCTTTACGTCATATTACTTCGTTCTAATTATAGGATCATTTAATGAAACATACTTTATAACATATACAATATTCAATTCAGAATATCCAGTTCTTTTGATTCGACCACTAGTATTCAACTGTTAAGTACAGATTCGAACTAGAAGTTTAGTAATATATCACATTAGTTTTTTCACTGACCAGTCTGATTGTTTGATAGCCTTCTTTATTTACAGATGGAATAAGTAAAACAACCATCACTCAATAAAATACTTTAGTTAGAATTAAGGATAAGATCCCGTTAACATTCAAACTGATTTATGTCTATAGATTAGTTTGTGTTGACTGTAGTACAGTTTTTCCATGAAATGGCGATTTATGCCAAGAAACCCTTAAGCTGCACAAAAAGACCTAATAATCCCGTCGAGCTGGAAAATTTATAATTTAAATTGACAATAACAGTAGACGCTACCTTCAATAGCCACTAAAGTGATATGAAAAATATCAAAATAATTCAGAAAGGATTTTCCAACTATAAAGGAAAACAGGTAGCCGACTCGTTTCAAATAGTGCAAAAAATCCCTCAGCCGTCAATAGGAAAGAAAGCCTGACTTCTCATCCAACCTGGACTGCTTATTCAAACAATCACGTCAGTATTCATTACCCAAACAATCAATACACATACATCCTCCAAATTTCAACCCCACTACTTCATATTACAAATGCATATATTTCTCATACATACAAATATAGTGATATATACAAACATAGGATGTCTCATACAGAATCATTGATGTGTGGGCGAGAATGACATGATTGGTTGTCTGCTTAGTCAGACATGTAGACAGTCTGACAGGTGTCAGATAAGTTATATATTCCCTTATTCTTATTATTGTGACACACTTATTATTGATTGTTCAGTGTTGTGGATTGTGTTGGTTTTGGGTGTGAAAATATATTTACGTTGTGGTCAGGCTAATTACGTGTTCTTGATTTGAGTTGTGCTGACGTCCTGTAGAATAGACACTGGGAGGGATCCAGTGTAGATAATCGTTTAGGCGTTATAACATCTTTCGGCGGCCTGCTTGAATATCTGGGCTACCTGTTTCTGCCATCTAATTATTTCAACAAGTTATCTGTTTTTTTCATTTTGTTTTAACCTCTCATTATGTCCATTAATCGCATAACATATACAGGCGCGTTTATGAAAAGCCTACTACCTTACGCTGCACAAGTTACAAAAAACTACAATAAAAGACATCGTGGTGGTCGGCAATATGCGTTGAAGAAAATGAACATTAATCGTATGTCGATTCCCGAATTGCTAAATTCTAACTGCCGATCATTAATTAACAAGATAGACTATCTTCAATTCCTACTAAGTCAAAATATGTATCGTAATTGTGGTGTCATCACAATTCAAGAATCTTGGTTAAACGATTTACAGGACGACTGCCTAGTATCCCTACGTGATTTCAAAACTTATCGTCAGGATCGATCAGACGATAAAAAGAGGTGTGGCGGCGGTGTAGCTACTTTTGTAAACGTGAACTGGTTTCGATCTACGTTTGCGTGTTTCAAGTTTTCAGATGACTTTATCGACTGTCTAACTCTAAGATGCCGTCCAAAACATCTGAGTAAATACAAATATGTTTATGTTACCAATATCTATGTGACCCCAGACTGCACATCATCTGCGCTATCTGTCTTCGCTGATGAATTCGCTGTTACTGCCTTCAGTGATTCACTTTCAGTCGGATGTGGTGATTTCGATTCATGTGACTGTAGCTTCCTTACAAAACTAGGTCACCAAAATATAGTAGATTTTCCTACTCGGTTGGATGCTCATTTAGACTTCGTTTTCATCAATGATGTAGGTATATACGTGACTCGTAAACGTGTCCCATTGTCTAGCTCGGATCACTGTATAATTCGTGTTCTACCTAAAGTATATGGAAAGCATGGGAAGAGTGCACTCTTAAATCAAACCAAGAAAGTCAAATATAGGAATTACTCAGGAGAAAATATTCGAAATCTGAAAAACATGTTTCATACGACTAACTGGGAATTATTTACAGATGACTCACTAGAAATCACTTCTGATGTTATCACTTGTTACCTTAAATTCTGTTTTGATATTTGTTGTCCCACTGAAACTATTTTTGTAAGTTTTGATCGACTTACATCTTCACAACTTAAACGACTACGGAGGGTGAAAGAAAGAATGTACAAAGAGAAAAACTCGAGTAAAGTTCGTAAGCTAAATGGTCTGATAAACCTCGAGATTAGTCGTCTTAACACTATGTTTGCTCAAAAACTCTTGTCTTGTAAAAACTCTTCAAGTATGTGGAAACTCTTTAAAGAACTTACAGGTGACAGACAGATTAGGACCGATAACCAGCTGGATGTTTGTGACTTAAATAAGTCTTTTTTACGTCAGTCATCTGATGTGATGCTACCTCTATTCACGGGTTTAAAAAATAGCTGTGTTCCTAGTTTCACTGAAACTGATGTCGGAAAATGTCTCCAGTCATTAAATTCATCCCGATGTTTGGGACCTGATTGTATCCCAAACCTCCTTTTTAAAAAGTGTGCTGACGTCCTATGCTATCCATTCACTACTATCCTTAACAGATCCTTCTCTTCTAATCTCATACCGAAAATGTGGAGAAAGATGAAGATAATCCCTATACCCAAGAAAGCATCTGGTGATAAGAATGTGAAAATCAGACCCATTGCAATAACTTCACCCTTTCTCAAAACAATGGAAAAATTAATGACACTTTCACTTCAGCCTGAGATAAAAGAGCACATTGACCAGTATCAGTTTGCTTACAGATACAAAAGAAGCACCTTAGATGCTCTTGCTGTTCTGCATCATAGTATAGTGTTCAACCTAGAAAAGGGTAAGAAGTATGTTCGATGCGCTTTCCTGGACTATACTTCTGCTTTTGATTCTATATCAAGGCAACGTTTACTTAACAAGTTAATCAGCGTCAACACTGACAGCTGGATAACCAACTGGCTATGTTCCTACCTCGCTGGAAGGGAACAGTACACAGTGTTTGGAGGAAAGTGTTCAGAGTCTCTAGTGTCTTATGAAGGTGTACCACAAGGAGCTGTTCTTTCACCTCTTTTCTCTTTTTTTCTGCATGATCTGCCATCTTCCACAATAAACACTTTTGTGAAATATGCAGATGATCTCACTGTTTGTATGCCTATCTCTTCCTCTTTACATCCTATAGAAATGAACGAGTTTTTGTCTCGTATTGATAGTTGGTCTGTCGTTAATGGTCTCCTACTTAATCCGTCTAAATGTCAAGCTGTTAACTTTAGCATGAGACATGATCGGCATTTAAACACCATTTTGAGATCTCATAATGCTTGTGCCATTGGCAACTCATTGATAAACACAGTGTCGACGGTCAATTATCTTGGTGTTACCTTTTCCTCTGATCTCTCTTGGTCTTCTCACGTTTCATTGTTATCGAAAAAAGTTTTCCGTCTGACTTACTACATTAGGAGATTGCATGCATTTGGGATCACTTGTCATTTACTCCTACAATTTGTCAATTCTTGCATATTACCTATTATTCTTTACTGTTCTCCATTATTCTTTCCCGGGCTTTTGAGAAAAGACTTTGCTGTACTGTGGAGAGCGCTGAATGCAGTTAGCAAGGTATGTGGTGAATCTTTCGAGACCATAATTAATATGGTTGTGGATAGACATCTAAAGTCATGCAAACTCCTGGCAGGTGTTATTTTATTAGATACTAACCATCCCCTTCACTCATATCTTTCTCCATGTATAGAACGAGACAAAATTACATTAAAATCCAAGCACGCAAGCGAAAGTATAAAAGTTCTATTATACCTTACCTAGCAAATATACTCTGTGACGAACAGGTTGTTAGAGTTAACCTAGTCTATAATCTGCATTCTTAACATGACTCTAATTGAAAAGTTGTACAGTTTTTCAGTTTTTTTAATTTTTTTTTATTAACCGTCATTTTTTTTCTGTAAAAGAAACTTGTTGAAATATTTTTTTGTGCTGAGAATTCTATATTGTACCAAAATATAATATTGAATAAAGCCATAAATAAATAAATAAATTAGACGAAGTAATACCGAGCGTTATGATGTTTTCAGACGTATTATGATTTTTAAGGTATTAGAAATATTATCTCGATTATCCATTTACTTTGAAGAAGTGACATACATCAAGTTCAGTCAGTAACAACGTAGTACTTCGTACGTATTTACATCAGTTCGAGTAGCCATACCACATTAGAACAGAGATGCAGTTGTAGATTCCAATCCCCTAGTGGTAGAGGTAGGACATACATCAAGTTACGAAACATCAGAACTACACAGTTCTAATTATTTGGATACCGCAAAATATATAATAATTATTAAAACAACACTTATTCGGAGTTAAATTATTCTATAGTTGACACCAATTCTTGATGTAAAACTATCTGCAAAATTATGAAATCTCAAACATCCAATAAAACAGGAACTGTATAATTACCAGTTGCATTTATCTACCAATTTATGAAGGTCAATTAAATCAAGTCTTAATTATTTAATAGTTGAATTCATGAGGCAATTTAAGCTAGATCACTATGGAAAACCTAGAAGCACTGGGAAGCCGTTAGGTCCTAGTATGGGACTTCTCAGATAATTCCAACTGAGGGACTCGAAGCCAGGACCCATTGGTCTCGCGCACAAATGCTTAAGCTCTAGACCACTGAGCCGGCCGGCATCCAATGGTGTTAATCTTTAACTTCAGTCAATCCATGATTTTTATTGTTGTTGTTCACTTTTCAGAAACAAATTAAGTTTCAGGACTGGAGAGCTGTTTTCCATGATGGTCTAGTTCAAATGAACTAATGAATTCAACTATTAAATTACTATTGTAGTGTATGCTATTGATGTTGACAGATATAGGTAATATGTATCATCAATCAAAAGTGAAGTGCCTGGAAACAGAAGGCTAAGAAGATCGGAGAAAAGAGATCGAGAACTGAGAATGATTGCTGTGAAAATGAAGAAACAGTGAAATCTGAGATAATTGATTGACCTTATACAAATCAAGTATTTACTGTATAGTTCTCAGATTTTAATAAGCTGTTTTGTAATTTTGTGTTCAAAAACATCCGATTGTCCTCGATTTTGTTATCGTTCACTACACTACAATCTACACAAACCTCTACTCATAATTAGATATTTAGGGATTGATCTTATACATTAAACATTTGATAATATTAAGTGATCATGATAAAGATTTCCAAACTAGATGGGTTGTGATTAAAAGTACAATCTAAGATGACTGGTTCGTTCTATTTAGGTCTCGTAAACTGGATTCAGCAGCATTCCAGTGTTGATATTCATATTGGGAAAGTCTCAGAAAATATTTAAGAACTGAAGATAGGATATTCATTAAGGATCTAGCAGAGTTTTAACTCCTTTATGGTTTATATTGCAACATTACTTAACCAGAGATGATCACTACATTTCAGGCATATTATTTCTTAATCATTATCAACTTATTTGTTTATTTACCAAGTCATTTAATTAGTTGTCACCAACCACAAAATACTTTATTATTACTCTGTCATGGCTATGTGATTGATTTATACTATCTTATCAAATCTTTTAAGTCTCATTTGTACCCCCATACTCTTTATCACAATATACTGGTAGGGTTTCTAGAATATATGAATTGTGGCTAACATTTAGGGTGAAAACACGGGTTTCGTCCCGTTTGGGACTCGCCAGATGGACATACCTCTACCCAAGTCTCTATGTTCGTACAAGAACTCGAACACCATGCCTTTCGTTTCAAGTTCTTAATGTACACATAATTAAGCGATCCGCATATATATCAATTAATACTGACCACAGTTCAGTCAAGAATATCATCAATCGGATAATTCGAACCGTTGCAAATTAGATCTGAATTTCTGTTTCACGTGGTGAACAATTTTAAATTAATTTAGCGTATATTATTTAACTACTTTCAAATCGTACAGTAGTATATAATATACGTGTGGCATTAGTTGTAGACCCGAAATTGGCATCCTTTAAGTTATCGTGACTAAAATGTAATTGGCCAAAGTAGACTTTAAACCGAACTTTGGCTGAAAAATGAAGTCCTATGGATTGGTTATTTAACTAGCAGAGGTTAGCCTTATATGTCGGACACATATGGACGTTTTGTTTCTTTAAATTTACAAGCTAAATTAATGTCAATGAAAATTAAGAGATTAGATGTCAGATGATAAGTTTAATGATAACAGATTCGTGGGAAGTGGTATCCTATTTATATAAACGGGAATTATTTTTATCATTCAGCAACTCAGGTCGGATGCTCTATATGTGAAAAAAGAGTTTCTGTTATCTAAAAACAGTAAAGAGATTTGCTGATTTTTCTGTCCATAACATTCCCTTAGGTGTGAGGTTTATGAAAACTCTTCATTTCTAAGGCTACAGAAACGACATACTAACTTTAAGTAGATAGTCATTGAAAACCATAATACACATGATCCATATTTAGTCTGAGGATGGAATTTATATTAAAACTAACAGTTATTTAACCCAGACATTTCAAACGTAGATGTGTTCGTGTCACTTTTCGACTATTAGTGAGCTAGTATTCGATGATCTACACTATCCATACTACTAACGCTGCAAACTGTGGTGTTATTACCGTTTAACAGTTTATTCCCTTGGCGGTATTACGAATTCGTTTTACATTTTGATGATTGTTATTCAGCTTGTATACATTTTTATTCCGATTGATATTTTTTATTGATAAATTAGGAGGATATGCAACAACTGATTCATTATATTGGTGAATCTGTTCTTATTCCAGAGGATGGAGCGTTTATTGCATTGTGGATTCTTACTCTGTAAGTCATTTGTTTTAATGCCTCTCTTTTGATGTGTTTATCAGAAGTTGAGTTGACAGATTAAATAATAAGCAATTTTGAGTAACTACATCATCCTAAACGTTTATCGAAAGCTAATATGTTTATTACTTACATATCTGTTATATGCCGATAAGAATAGTGAATGGTAATTTTTGGGATCCATTTACAGACCAATACTGAACGCATATTTCTATTGTATAATTATTAAGTAACTAAACTATGCATATTCATATTCCTCTTATTATAAGTTTTATTTTGACCCATTAACTATTATCATACGTTTTACCATTCTTGAGTTATACACAGTACATTAATTACTACCTCCCTCATTCACAGCCACATATGGCTAACTCTTGTACAAATATTGTTTCATATTTTATTGGTACGTTGTGGTCTGTTTGATTGATATATAACTCAGTATGTTTGAAATATGATGATTCATATCGCAGAGGCTGAGATTAGTGTTCTGGACTCAACTGGCTGGGCTAGACAGAAAGCAGGGCCAATCAGGACTCTAGGCTGCTCGCACGTGTTTTCTGTGTCACTGTTTTGATCGATAATTCGCTGCTCTCTAATCAGTTAGTCACAAGTTATAACAATATCTAATGCCTGTTGTGGTGTATGCTACTTATGTTAACAAATATATGTAGTAGTACAATTCGCTACAGTGACTGTCACACAAAGTTTAACGGAAGTCCTATCGATCCTCTATACGTGTACTTTCATGTTTCTTGCATAAAAACAGTATTTACGAAATCTTAGCAACATGAATGAATGACATGGGGTTTTGAATTTCTTTGGCTAGTGGCATCATCTTATCGAGAGTTGAATAAGTTGGGTAGATGAAGTTCTTTGTAAAATCTAGTTTGATCTAGCTAGCTGAGCCTAGTCAGTCAGTTACAACTTAAGATCAGGCACATACATGCATCGGTCCAAGTTGCCACACCTCATTAACACAACAAGATGAACACCGGATTCATAGAAGTAGTTAATTCAATGATGGTAATATATAAAAGAAAGATTGCATATAATGATGTAGTACGTGACGAAAGAATTAGTTGGTAGAAAGAAAGATATAAAGCAATTTTGATGTTATGGTTTAAGGGTAGACAAGGACTGTATATACTGGCGCTATTGTGATCGATTCTTATCCATGTCACCCTGAGTTTCCAACATGGCTAAGACTAGAACTGAGCCTAGTGACAGTTTAGACAAATATTTATCATAATACAGCACTTTACACAGGTTATACTAATCAACATTAACTCACAAAGAATAATTCATGTAGGATGATAGCTAACGACAACGCAGAGATAAAAAGGAGGAACAGTTTTAGAGTTTATTATTCTTTTTATTAATCTGACTAATGAAGTAACCAAGTCATTGACAATTAATTTCATTTCTCTCTTTGTTAAAGAGAAACATTTTGTATAGAAGTTTAACTTTACGGTTTGTATCATATCAACGCGTCTTATATTATCAATAGTACATTTAGTAGGTCAATGGTTTGTAGTGAATTAAAATATTTGAACAGAACGCTAATTTCTGATTCTAATTATTTACCTATTATAGTGTTGGTTACTAGGTTAAGTCTATATAACTTATTCTAGCTTCTGGACAGGCCAATTTATCTATTCATCTTAAGTCATGTTGTGGTCTTGTCAATTATTCGCTTATCAACCTTGAATTTTTATATAAGCATGTGTAAGTACATCTTATCCTATTCATCACATGTCTGTAACTTATTTTTGTATGATTAATTTATTTTGGTTGAATGGTGCTGGCTCACATTCCTTCTTCACTTTTATTATTGTGACAAAAACACTTAATTATCTTACCACATTCATATGATAGTCTGTTGCTAACTCATTGATATTACACTTCATCGGACAAACTGAACACCCTCTACGTCTTCGCCTGGATGAACATCAATTAACAGTCAAACACCATAACATGTCCTCACTTATATCAATGCACTTGCACAACTGCGGACACACATTCGACTAGAAAAATGTAGAAATTTTGAATAGAGGCTATTACAAAAATACCAGAGAATTTTTAGAAGCTTGGCACTCAGAAATCAACAAGCACATTAAAATCAATCCAATTTATCAACTAATCAGAAAAATTATGCACAAACATAGAAAGAAAAATCAAACGAATGGAAGATAAAACCAAAACAAAGAAGTAAACAATGACAGGTTAACAAGAATCAATCAACATCGAGGTGTACAAGACAACTGTGAACCACATGTGGAAAAATTTGAACAATTCACTTCTACTTGAGGTTTGTGCTGATTATATCATTCAGAAGAACGATGAGAGCTCCATGATCATACAATCCAGCTCAGAGAACAAAACTCCAACAAAATATTACGAGACTTTTCATTTGCATACATTGCATAATCTATTATCATTATCTTTCTATTACATCATCATGTTTATTGATTGTTCATATATCCTCACAGGATTAATAGTTAAAATTTCATACGATCTCACTGGAATACAAAGGGTCACTAAACTAATATATAAATCACTGGATGAACAATTATTCCCTTAATGTAACCATGAATATTATGAGAATATGGTACTTAAACAAAACATTTTTTAAAAAGATTTACTATGAATGTTTCATATAATATTTCAAACATAATTTTGTAGCATTGATCATTGGAATAATGAACATGAACGTTTAATTGTATTAACTGAAAGAAATTTCTATATATTAAGATATGATTTTCTTCAATGTCGTGTACGTGATAGTCGTCGTGTAGGTCTTGGACAATTGATTAGTGTTATAACTGGACCACTTGTATTTCCAGCAAAATCATTAATGCCGTAAGTGATTTATTATTTTTTTTCTATTTTGATATTTTTAATTTATCCTTCAAATCAAATGAAACTAGATTGAATTAAGCAAATTGTGTAAAATTAGTTCAATAGGAAGATGTTTTTCATTAGTCTGAAAAAACTAGAATAAACTAATGAGTACTGAATGAATGATTCTTTAAAGGAATAGGTTATCGGTAGAGTTCATTCATGATTGCGATAGGATATGAACTTAAGATATTGATAAATCATTCTCAACTATATAGTTAGTTTCATTCTATACAGAATCTATGGACGATTACAAGTACCAAACGTAGACAAAACAGTTGACCAGGGTTTCTTAATTTCTAATGCTTCTTCAGTTTATATTAATTTGTAATAGAAAATACAATCATATTATTAAATTACTTTGTTGAACAATCGCTAAAGGTCAAATCAGTTGTATACTCTAAGCTTCTAAAATCTCTAATTGTTTATTAAAATAACTTGCCATGGTAAATTTAACTTGGCGTCATATTTAGTAAAATATTTTGTTCTGTGTTAATTAAATGATACATTGATTTTTCTCGTATTCTATGAGTAATAACAGTAAAATGAACCGCTGATAAAAATTTACTGTACTTACATACACCTGTTACCTTTCGTGGAGGAGCATAGGCCACCCATCAACATTCTCGATTCAACAATGTTCTGGGAAATCCTTTCCAGTTTTTTCCAGTTAATATTCACCCTTTTGATGTCTGCTTTCAATTCTCGACCCAGTATGTTCTTCGATTTTCCTCTTTACCGTTTCCCTTCAGGATTTCAAGCTAGCGCTTTGATGTGTGGGTGAGAATGATAATGATTGATTGTTTGCTTAGTCAGACATATATATAGTCTGAGAGGTGTCAGATGAGTTATATATTCCCCTATCCTTATTATTATGACTACTCACTTATTGTTGATTGTTCATTGTTGTTGGGTTGTGTCAGGGTTTTGGTGTGGAGATAAATCTACGTTGTGGTTAGGCCAATCACGTATTCTTGATCTGAGTCGCATTGACGTAATGTAGAATAGACACTGGGAGGGAATCTAGTGTAGATATTCATCTAAGGTAAATTAACATCCCATGCGTGTAAACGTGGAAACCCAATCATTATAACATTAGACGACGCTTACTTCGTGATGCAGTTTGGTGATTTCCGTAATGTATACCCTATACACTTCCAAAGTCTTTTCCTAATTTCCTCTTCAGATGGAAGCTGTTTTATCCTCTCCCACAGTAGGCTATTGATGATGGTATCCGGCCAACGGATATTGAGTATCTAGACATAAATAAAGATAAATTCTTTTTTGGTTAACTGAACACTGTAATTGTGTGTATATAAATAACTAAAAATATTTTAACAGTTGAATTCACCAGCCAATCCATGCCAGACTAACGTTGAATACGTGGAAGTACTGGATGGCTGTTTCGCCCTAATTTGTGACTCCTCATCATTGTGCATCCACGATCCCGTACACGAGGATTGAAGCAGGACCTTCGGTCTCAAGCGCGAACGCCCAACCTCTAGGCCACTGGGCCGGTATCTAACGATGTCAATGTCTGACCCATAATATTGAGCAACCCTTCATTCATTGTTTGAAATGGATAAATGTCTCCACCCGATACGGATAGAACTCCACTGGTCACGGCTTAAAATGTGTTTATTGCCACATTAACTTAAAACTATGATTGTAAATTTTTACTGAATGAACATCTTTTTAGGTTGAGAATTAGGAATAGTTCAAACTATTTTATGTAAAGTAGAGAAGTCTATAATAGGAAAACCTCTTAAATGTTCAACATTGAATCTTGATTTGTGATAGATATTTCAGTTAACAAAGTATGAGTATTTCAAACAAATAGTAAAAGAAATACATGTTATATCCTAGCGAAGATTAAATTACGAGTAACTTCCGAGACCTATTAATGGACTAATATTATATACATATATTTCTATTGTATAACTATTCAGTACGAGCATTCCATGTACCTAAATAAATGGTTGCTCTGGTTGTCAGAAGGGGCATCGGCTTCGTGACTTCCGAAGAAACTCGGCTTTCATCATGAAGCGTCATAATTCTTCTAAACGAAGACCTCCTGACTCCAAGGACAGAGTTTAAATGGTTTGAATAATTTTTTCTGGTTAGCGTTTTTTAGCGAGTTAGTTTGCTACGGGATGGGGTCGCTAACCCCATGCCCAACCCTCCTCCTTTATCCGGGCTTGGGACCGGCAGTAGCCCCCGGAAAGGAACTCCAGGTGGCAACCAACACCAAAGTCAGAATTTTCAATACAAATATCAAGACAGTTCTACTGTATGGGGCGGAAACCTGGAAAACTACGAAATCCATCGTCCAAAAGATACAGGTGTTTATTAACAGTTGTCTACGCAAAATACTTCAGATCCGCTGGCCGGACACTATAAGCAACAACCTACTGTGGGAGAGAACAAATCAGATCCCAGTGGAGGAAGAAATCAGGAAGAAGCGCTGGAAGTGGATAGGACACACATTGAGGAAAACACCCAACTGCGTCACAAGACAAGCCCTCATATGGAATCCTCAAGGTCGAAGGAAGAGAGGAAGACCAAAGAATACATTACGCCGGGAAATGGAGATAGATATGAGAAAAATGAACAAGAATTGGATGGAACTAGAAAAGAAGGCCCAGGACAGAGTGGGTTGGAGAATGCTGGTCGGCGGCCTATGCTCCATTAGGAGTAACAGGCGTAAGTAAATGGTAAAGTAAGTAAGTAACTATTCAGTAACTAGATTATGTATATCTATATTCCTCTTATTATAAGCTTCATTTTGATTTATAGATTATTATTGTACGATTTACTGTTCTTAAGTTATGTTCAGTTTATTGGTTACTGTCTCCCACAATCACAACCACCTTTTGGCTTGGTCTTTTATAATTGTTATTTCCTATTTTAAGGTGTGATGCGGTGTGTTTGGCTGGTATATAAACTGAGTATGTTTAAAATAAATGATTCGCTTAGTGGAAACTATTATTAACGTTCTGGACCCAGTTGAACGGGCTGAGCTAGGAAAGGACCAATAAAAACGCTAGGCTGATCAGATCGGTCGAACGTCATTAGTTTAGTACAGTACTAAAATTAATTAAGTCGTATTTTGATTGGCGAATAAATCACATAATAACTGCTGAGTCGGCTTTCTGAGAACTTCAACTGAGCCTCCGGAGGCCCTGAAGGAACCAAAGAGTCTTAGCCAATCAGAGCATGATGGAGCTTTCTAGAATACCAACGTGGCGTGCTACTATTGGTCAGTAGAATAATATATCTTTTAGCGGATTGGCCAAAATATTATGTTGATTTAACAAATGTTAACATCCATAAATACCCGTGTTTTTCTGTACAAAAATGAACCTTGGAGTAAAGTACTCTCCGCATACTTTGCGCCTTCTCTCCCGTGTTCAGGTTGCTGGATAGTTCTGGCTTTGGGGTCTCAAGAATAGCTTAGGAAACGAAATAAGCGTTCAAATCCCAAGACTTATCAATAACTAGTCACAACAACAAACATATTTTTTGTCAGTATTAATCATGATATGGATAAAAATTACAATTTCATTTACAGTGATTTCTTTGAAAGAAAACCTTAGTCGAAAGTATATTGAGGATTTTCAGGCACGTTTCATAAATTATAAGCTATCAGTAGATAACAGGTGTTATATTATCATAACTGAATGTAAATGATAGTTAGCCATTTTTAATACACAATTATAACATGTGTTGCACTGTGAAATGAATCCATTATTATTATTGTTATTAGCTTTATTCAATATCGTATTTCTGGTACAATATAGAGTTCTCAGAACAAAGTATTTCAGAGAGTTTCCGTTTCTTACTTCTTGATCGATCCTGACGATAACGTATTTAGCAGTCGCCAGTTAGATGTTCGCAGTTCAGTAATCAATATCTGAATGATGTTCATTCTTATCGATGTATAATGTCAACAACCACGTCTCTAATTGTACATTTTTGTAAATTGTACAGTGAAAGATCGTGAACTTTTCACAAATGCAACTGGATAGGATAGGCAATTAATTGACATAATGATCTGTTAAAACAAACAAGGAAACAGATAACTTGTTGAAATATCCAGATGACAGTGTAGTGGTCGGTATTCAATATAATCCTTAAAATTCGTATACAGTTTGTCTTAATACCATCACCAGAGAACGCCCCAACGGTATATTAATCAGAATGCGAATATGAAGTGTTGATTACTTTTATTATAGGACTACACACAGATATCCAAAATTACAGATGCGTTAAGCTAGCATGAAAGAGTTGTGCCAAAAAGCAAGCAAGTGAGTGAGTCAGCGAATATGAGTACGAGTAAGCGAGTGCTAATAAGCGAGAGAGCAATGAATATGAATAACATGGACATATATATTTTCATAGTGAAATGAATGAATCGTCGAATCAATTAATCGACTAATAGTAAAGCTAGCAGAGTGAATATATGCGTAGGCAGTAAGCAATGCTCAAGTATACATATTCATACATTCACAACAATAATTAAGATACAGTGATATAGATAAGTTGTTGTTGTACGGACGGCTCAGTTCGTTAATACGTTAACAAAATGACGTAACCGAATTAAATGTGAACAAACTCAATTGCACGTGAGTTGCTATAACAGAAACAGGTAGCCGAGATATTCAAGTAGGCCATCACGAATAACTAATTCTAAATAGAAATCTATGTTATATATATTTATTGCAGATTGTTTTATATACCATGATAAGTATCTGACTATCATCTAAGAGATTATCATTTGTGTTATGGAATAGTATAAATTTAGTATTTCCTATCATTTTTTTGGTAACTCTCCCCAAGGACGGTTTTGTGCTGTATATATACGTTTTGACTTGTGTTTGTTGTTAGCGCTCGTTTCTGGCTGTTTGCAGAATATACTTTCTCATTCCAAGCTTGAACTTCGTGCTCTAGTTAACGGGGCTGGGACGCATCAGAATATCTAGCTTATTGGTCTTTGGTCACTGAGTCTTTGTTCTCGTTCGCAGATTAAGTGAACTCGTGATAGCTTCAAATCTAGCAATTTCATAGTGTATTATAGTCAAATAAACGACTAACAATTATGTAACGCGATGTAAGCCAGTTTTTAATATCCTTTTACTACGTGTTCTATCAATTGATTTTCAATGTACACATTTTTAACTAATTTGTACACAACATTATTTGTTTATATGTTTAGTATACGTAGTTCACCTGGTGTTCAATTGAAATGGGGTGATGAAAATGATGTGAAAATTACACAAAAATGGAATCCATTATGTCGTAGTCTACCTTATGCTACATTAACTCATCATCCACTTTATTCTAAACGTGATCAATTACCATCAAAACAAGTGAATGTACCAGGTGCCGGTTATGAGGATTTATCTAATCCAGTATCTGTATACGATGTGAATAATTTTCTTACAGCATTACGAGAAGCTTGTTCTGGTATGAATATTCAGGTAAAATAAATGGTTTTATTTATCTTTTTTATTAGTATGAGAGGATTTGTGGAAAATACAGAATTTTTATGGTTCAAGTGTGAACTAATCGTAGTCAGGCCAACATTGAAAAACTGAAAGCATTGAAATCTCGTACTAGGACAAAACAACCATCTAGCTCTAATAAGTTTTTAGTGGTGATCTGGTTTAGGTGAAATGGTGGTTAAAACTACTAAATACTTTTAGTTAATATGTTTATTTATGATACAGATAATTGTACGCATATATAAGCTATAAAAAGAGAAAGTCCGGACCCGAGACATTTGAGAAAACAGACGCATCCTTTGAGGATTTATTTTTACAAACAACAGATACGATTCCGACGTCAATAAAGGTTTAAAACCATGTTGGTTAATAGCTGTTAATAACACGAGAATGACGAATACGTTACGAAGTGTTTACTGGTCAAATAACACTGAGAAGCCCTACAAGAGCTTAAGAAAGTGTATAACCTAATCAAAAGTAAGCTAAGCAAAGGACGAGAGCTATTTTTATTGAACAAAGCCGAATAAATTGATAAAATGGGCTCATCATTGAATGACATCACGAAATTTCAGGAACATCTCTGTGATGTTGCTGACTAGTCGTCTTGAAGAATAGGAATGCGTAACGATAGTTATACCTTCCATTCATAAATCACTTTAACATACTAGTTTGAACAAGTTATTATTGGCATTCAGCCACAAGGCTCATTGATGACTTAATATTGATGTGAATTTGTATACTGAAATTGATCCAAATTTAAACATATAGGCTTATACAAATGGTATGCATAATTATCCAGTTAAAATAAATTAAACACTTACTGAAATATATTTAATAGTTAAATTCATGAGTAAATTAAGGCTAAACCACCATGGAATACCTGAAAGCATTGGATTGCTGTTTCATCCTAGTATAGAACTCTTCAGCAGTGCGTATCCACGATCTCTCTCACGGGATTTGGACTCATGGTGGTCTAGCTTTAAGTGACTCATGAATTCAACTATTAAATTACTATAGTCACCACAAAATCCCTTTCTCATGAAATATATTTACACAAATTAACTTTATTTCAATTATTTTAACTTCATTCTTTTCTCTTCATAGTTTACCAATGGTGAAATTGTCATTGAAAGTTATGGTAATTTAGGTAGTGTAGTATTCAATCAAAGTAATTTGGGTTTTGCTAAACCAAAACCACTTACATCATGATTGTCTATTAAGGAATGTCAATATTGAATGAATGAATTATAAAACAATGCATTTCCTATAAACAATAATGACATAATATTATCTACGAAAGTTCATTATTCCCTTTAGTAATTTCTTCTTAAATAATCTTTAGTATTTTTCTCTCCATCTCTCTCTCTCTCAATCAATCAATATACATTGGATCATAATGGTCATAAAAAACTTATTAACAAAAAATTAGTTTGATTTGTACTCTTTTACAATGTTATAATCCTTAATTTTAGTTTAAACTGTTTATACTACTTATTTCTGAAATTAGTAGATAACATATAAAATTACTTATTATTATTATTATTTAATTTTACTCAAACTGATGTAAAACAATTATTCAAAATGGAATTGAAAACTATTTATTTATTTGTTTGTTTATTTATTTTATCGAATACTTATCATTGACATTTTATTTTTCACCAATTCCCTTCTATACTACTTATATTGTAATTGTGATTCTTTCATTTGTATTGTGATCTATAATAAATACATTAATTGATAAAAAAAAATATGTAAATCATTTAGTCAATCAGCTACATACTAAATATGATATTAATCATTCTATGAAAATTATTTTGTTTTAGTTATTCTTGGTACGTAATTTACTTTCCAAGTATAGGACAGTGTAATCATTTTTCGTGTTATACTGTATGAAGGTTAGTGATGATGAGATGGTGGAGAAGATTTGTAGCTCAAGTGGATGATTTTGATGGAGTTTTGTTCTCTGAGTTGGATAGTTTGGTCGTAAAGCTTTTTCATTGTTCTTCTGAACGACATCATTAGAATAAACCTCAGATGAAAATGATAGTAAAAGTGAAATTACTAGCTGCTTAAATCGTTATAAATGTAACGCATTCGAAACTGTTACCTGATGGCTGAAATTTGATTGATTTCTTGATGAGACTATAATTTATGGACAACCTTTGAGCGACGCTAAAGTGACCTTGAGAGTGTTCACTGAATAACTAGGATCAAATTAGGGTTATATACCTGTGTAGGGAATCTGAATTAAGATTTACAGTTGATGGTTAGGGTTAGGAATTAGATTTACGGTTTTTCATCACGAATTGACATCAGCTATAATGTCAATACTCTATTAAGCTAAATGGGTGAATGAGCTTCTCTCCAAAATCTAAAGTCTGTTATCGTAAATCTGATTGGTTCGTCCAAAAATTAGTGATGAAATATATAATAATAACTTTATATTATTTCAATACTTTCCCAATGAGTAAACTGTCAATAACACATAATGAGTTCAAATCTGAATAAAATTAAATAAACAAAAATGAGATCAGTATTAGTATTCTTGATGAATCCATTCAATAAAATGTTCTGTTAAAGGGGGTTTGCTTACTAAAACTGTCTTTTACTAAGAAATTATTGATCGAATCCCACGGGGTGGTATCGTGTATGTGCACTGATGAAGAGTCTCACACCAGGGCGAAACGGCCGTCCAGTACTTTCACGTTTTCTATGATGATCTAGCTTCAACTAACTCATGAATCCAACTATTAAATTAATGATGCTTCATTTTAGTACCATTTACTTTGAATGACATGAAGCAGAATCGATCACAATGGCGTAGGTATATATATATATATATATATAT